ACACGTCACGTCTGTGTTTGTTAGTCTTGTTGGCTTGTTGTTCTTGTGTTCTTTCAAGGGCTTCGGTTGCTTCTCTGAGGAGTCTGTTCATTGTTGCTACCCATTCATTGAGAGAGGGGCAAGGGGTGGAGGGGCTGAGCTGCGAGGGAAGCAAGAAATCGGAGGGCAATCGGGGATGGTAGCCAATGTCGAGGTAGAAAGGGGACATGCCAGTGGAGGGGCAGATAACGTTGTTTTAGGCAATCTCAGCGGCTGTGAGCAACTGATCCCAATCGTGTTGGTGTGGATGACAGTACTTTCGCAGGATTCTTTGGAGTGTATCGTTCATCTTCTTTGTTTGTCCATCGGTCTGTGGGTGGAATGTAGTGCTATACTTTAGCGTGGTTCCGTTGGCCGGGAAGAGATGTTTCCAGAATTGTGAGAGGAAGCGAGGATCACGGTCATTGATGATGTTCTCGGGGAGGCCGCGATGGCAAGCAACATGGTCGAAGAAGAGTGTGGCGACGTCTTTGGCACTGTGCGARGTCGTGCAAGGGAYGAAGTGGGCACGTTTGGTCAAGCGGCAGACAATGACGTAGATGCAATCATGCCCGCGGTCGGTCTTGGGGAGGCCGCACACGAAGTCCATGGAGATGGACTGCCACCGGTGAGTTGGGATGGGCAATGATTGGAGCTTGCCGGGTTTGGCCTGGTTCGAGGGGTTGATAGCTTGACACGTGGGGCACGAACAAATGTATGCCTTAACGTCGGTGAGTAGGGAAGGCCAGTAGAAGTAGCGGGAGATGGTGTCGAAGGTTTTCTGGAAACCGAGATGTCCTGCGGTCTTGGCGTCGTGGTGCTCGGCCAAGAGCTGAGTACGGAGGCCTCGTGCGTCGGGGATGCAAAGTCGGCGAGTGCCTTTGGTACCGATGTAGAGGAGATTGTTGTGGAGGGAGTAGTCCGGAACTGGGTCAAGATTGCGGAGTTTGTTGTAAATGGTGGCGAAGTCTGAGCAGGAGAGATAGCCTTGGGTGTATCGATGATGAAGTGATGGAAGGAGTTGAATATGAGTCATGGCGGTGTAGACTTTCTCGGGGGGCTTGCGGTCGGGTCGTCGCGAGAAGGCATCCGCAACACGGTTGCTTTTGCCGGGGGTATGGCAAATGGTGAATGTGAACTGGGCAAGGAAGTCTAGCCAGCGGGCTTGGCGTGGAGTGATATCTTTCTTGGAGAGGATGGAGGAGACGATGGTGTTGTCAGTGCAGATGGTGAAGTATTACCCGTCGAGGTACGCGCGCCAAACTGTGAGGGCGTGAATCACGACGATGAGTTCCTTCTCGTTGGAGGGATAATTCATCTCTGCAGGAAGGAGCTTCTTGCTTGTGAAGGCGATGGGGTATTCGCCAGGTGGAGCCTCGGGGTGGGTGGGCGAGTCCTTGATGGAGGGGGTCTCGACGGTGTCGCGGGGGAAATGTTGGGACAGCACGGCTCCGATGGCGAAGTCGGAGGCGTCAGTGGTGACATAAAAATGGCGAGTGGGGTCGGCGATCTTGAGGACAGGGGCCGTGGTGATGGTTTGCTTGAGCAAGTCAAAAGCGTGTTGGCGGCGATCGTTCCAATGGAAAGGCTCGTCCTTGCGAGTGAGTTCATGGAAAGGGTTAGAGATCTCGGAAAAGTTGCGAATGAACGGGCGGTAATAGTTGGCAAGGCCAAGGAAGGAACGGAGTTGGAGGAGGGTCGTGGGTGGGGGGTACTCGACGAGGGCTGTGACCTTCGAGGGGTCCATACGTATGCCTTCAGCGGAGACAATATGGCCGAGGTACTCGAAGCTCGAAGCGGCAAACGTACATTTGCTGAGCTTGGCGTAGAATTTTTGCTCGCGGAGGATCGAGAGAACTTGGCGGAGGTGCTGAAGGTGGGACTCGAAGGTGGGGCTGAAGCCAAGGATGTCATGAAGGTAGACGACGACACAAACTTTGAGGAGGTTGCGGAAGATATGGTTCATGGTAGATTGGAAGGTAGCGGGGGCATTGGTGAGTCCGAACGGCATCACGAGAGCGGAAGGCGGTCTTGTGGGTGTCCTCCTCGCGGATACGGATCTGGTGGAAGCCACTGCGAAGGTCGATCTTGGTAAAGTACTTAGCTCCACGGAGACGATCAAGGAGCTCGGAAATCCGAGGTAGGGTGTACTTGTTCTTGATCGTGATCCGGTTCAAGGCGCGGTAGTCTATGCACATGCGGAGTTCCGAAGTTCCACCTTTCTTGACGAAAAGGCAGCTGGTTCCGAAGGGGGATGAACTTGGCTTAATGAACCCTTTTTCAAGGAGTTCACCGAGTTGCCGTTTCATTTCTTCGGCTTCGGGGACAGAGAGTTGGTATGGAGGGCGGCAAAGTGGAGAATGTCCGGGTTCCAAATCGATGGTATGCGATACGCCACGATCCGGAGGTAGATCGGCGCGTAAGGACTCGGGAAAGACGTCCCTTAGCTCGTCGAGGATTGAAGTGATGGCGGGGTTGGAGGGCGGGGCTTGATCGGGTTTGTTCGTCGGGAGTTAGTCCTTGGGACTTTCGCGATCAAGGACAAGAYAGTAGTAGGCGGAGTCGGGGTTTAGGGGAGCCATGTGGAGGAATTGGTGCGGGGAGACAAAGCCTTGGGAGGTCGGATATGGGAGATAGGGGATGTCAATGGTTGTGTTGGGGGGGTTGGTGAGGCGAAGGAAGTTGGGGTGGAATGCGTATGGCATGTAGCGGTCCAGCCACGGGGTTCCTAAGACGATGTCNCCTTTGACACATGTTTGACGGCAGACTGTCCCCAAGCGGAACACAGCAGTGGGCAGCAACTCCGTGGAGCACCAGGCAACTAGTGTATGAAGAGCGCAACAAACGCGTAGTGAAGCAGAAAGCAACACCAACAAGGCAGAAAAACTACACAGCGCACATTGCAAGCAAAGGACACGGACGGATTGGCACGCGGATAGACGGCAGGGCAGCAGAGCGGCGAGGCACAAGGCAACTCGAACACCACAGCTACACCACACGCAGAACACAGCAGCTTGCGAAGAGTCGCATGCGAAGCAAGTGGGACGGTCAGCAAGGCAGCGGCGAAGCGCAGACGAGGCAGTCCGCACATCAAACACGAAGCAAAGCGGCACATCACCTACTCCCCCACGGACTGTTTGTTCCCACCACCCGTTGAGCCAGGGACCATCGACAGACCATCGCACAACAGACATCGCAGACATAGTGTGCTCCCTAAAAGTGCTGCAGGCACTGACCATCGACTATTTATTTAGCACTTCTTGAAGGTGCTCACCCAGACGTACAAAATGTACTTGGAAAAAATCAAGAAAGAGAAAAAATATAAGAAGAGGAAATATGGCCAAGCGGTCTAGCTCGGGGCACACTCACACGGGGACCTAAGACGGCATTTGGTACCCCCAGTTTGGGACTTTGGGTGCCCGTACAGTCACACGGGCGGACTCTGTTCACAAAGGACAGAGTCGCGGCCCTGACACCTGAACATCGCTGGGAGTGCATGCGGCCACTCTTGGGAGGACCCAAAAAATATTAGACCTCTTCTGTTTTTTTAACTTTTTTTTTTGTGTTTTTTTTTTCCCCCTTGAATGCCGTACAGTTGTTTGGCGGGCTGTTTCCTTCATCCCACGAATTTCCTCAATGAAGTTGAATAAACTCACTGAAAAATAAAAATTCAGAAAATCATCTGCGATGATCTCTGGGGTCTAGTCCCACCTACAGCGTTGAGTTTTCTCAACGCTGAGCTTTCTATCACGTGTGGCATGGTGGGACGGAGCTCTGCCGTTGATGTATTGCGAATCTAACGGTACCAATGACGTGAAATCCGTTTTGTAGTATGTGTTGGCCCTTTTGGTTTGGGCTGGAAGCCATTTTCCGTTGAGAAAACTACCCTACCGAGGATAGGGTAGATTTCTCAACTGCAGTGCCTTTCCTTTTTTTGTTTTTTTAGACCTCATTGCATCCTGAAACGGAGGAACTCTGACAGCTGTGTTTGGCTGTCTGGCATCAAACTCGTTTCCTTCTTTGGGCAATGAATGCATTTGGCCATCCACGTCGTCCCTGTCCATTTTACAAATGGTGACCTCCTGTCCCCTCACCACGGGGAATATCCTTTTTTCACGGAGACGTTCACTCCGACTGTTACAGATATGTTTCATTTCTCCCAGTTATGTTATAAAAAATAAGGAGAAAAGCTGTTTCTAGCGTTTTTTTCAGTTTTTTTATTTGTTGTTTCGAATTTATTAATGTCGACATGGTGTCACACCGTTGAGTTTTCTAAACTCAACAAGGGTCCTCCTTTGCGGAAAAAAAAAAAGAAAAAAGAAAAAGGGTCCTCTTGCTGCCCGGCAGGCCGCGGACAAAAGGGTCACCAAAAATAGCATTTGGAAAAAGGGTCACCGAAAAGAGCATTTGGGGACCAGGCCTATCGAATGTGACCCAAAGCCTGCCTCAACATTATTCGGGATTTAAGGTAATTGGTCCCCCTTTTGAGTATGCCCTCAGTTGGTGGAGCACATACAAGTGTTCTACAGGATTTCGTGGGTCGATTCTCCTCGGCGTCCATTTGATACCCAGTGTGGCCGGCCTACTTCGGGTTCACCGGCTGAGAAGGTTGTCTTGTCCCTCCTGGCGGATTGTGGAAGTCGAGTCCGTCTTTCCAGCGCGCGCCAGGTGTTAGCAGCTTTGGTGCTTCTCCCCGCACAGAGCAGAGTGAGGTAGGTGTAGACCCATAACCTTAGGATAAGACTGTTCCCCCTTCCAATGTAGGGTAGTGGTTTCTCCTGCTTCTCTTGAATAGGTGTGATCCGTTAATATCTCGCTGGTAGGGCTTGTGGATAGGGCATATATATGGGTAGCTAGTGTGACACGAGGAAGAAAGTATTGAGAGAAGAAAATAGGGTAGTGAAAAAATACAACTGTCCCCCATATGTAAAAAAAAAAAAAAAAAAAAAAAAAAAAAAAAGAAAAAAAAAAGAAGGCAGCTGTATTACAAAAAAGAAAGAAAGAAGAGGAAATATATACAAATATTATATACAAAAAAAAAAAGAAAGAACAGGAAATTTATAAAAATATTATACATGCATAAGCATGATTGTGTGAGTGTGTGTGTTCATCAATTGAATTCGAAGATTCAGGAATCACTTTGTAGGGGTTCCCTCCCTCCCTCCCCCTCCCCCCACCTCCCCCTCCCCCCTCCTTTCCTCTGCCTCACTTTGTAGGTTGTACTGGTTTGTAGGTAAGGTTTGTGACCCTGGATTTTTTTCCCTTGGGAGGATTTGGTGGTTTTGCCCATTTTTATGTGTTGGAACTTGGGCTACCAGCCGGGGCTGCACGGGGCACCTTATTTCCCGGGGCGGCCCAGCCGTGCGAGGACAGGGAAGGTCCTAGCAAAAAAACGAACACAAAATTTTAAAAAACAAAACCAAAAAAAAACTATGTTATGCAGAA